TTTCTTTTCTTCTCTTTATTTGATGATGAATATGAAGATGAGTGTTTACTTTCAAGAGGCTAAAACCCATTGTAACGTAAATTTTTCCTTTTCTTTTTATTTTCTTGTTTCTATTGTAGTAATTTCTTTTCTTCTTGTTTTTGTAGTTTAGATTTACATTAATGCCTTATAGAGTAGATTTACATTCATGTCTTTATTTCTACATTATTTTCTTGCACTTTTATTTTGTAGTATAGATTTATTTTCTCATATAATATAGATTTTCTTTTATGTTCTTTTTTTTTGCAACTTAGTTAGATTTATTTTTATATTTATATTTACTTATTTGTTCTAATTTCCCTCCTTGTGTTTATTTTTTATTTTCATTCTTTTCTTGTATAGATTTTATTTCTTGTTTTTATTTTCTAAGATGTGGAACTAATTCTTATAGAAATTCTAGAATTGAATGAAACTAGCTTGATTTCTTTTATAATTTATGATTTATTTTATTGTGTTAAAAATGATCATGTTTAGGATAATCAACTAGAGAACTAATTGATAGAAAAAGAATTTGATAATCTATACCTATCTTGAGTGGCTTGATAGGTTATGCTTATGAATTCTAGAATTCCTATCTAGTTATTATTCTTTTCATGAATGTTAATTTTACTTAGATAATAATTTGATAGGTTATGCTTTTCTTAAGTAGTTTGATTGTCTATGCTTAATAAATCTAAAGTAGAATATGAAAAAAAGAGAATAATTCATCATCTATAAGTGAAGTGGCTAGTGGATTTAATTCTAGATTCCTCGTATCTCTAATTAAATCATTGATCTTTTATTTTCTTGATTTTCCTCTTTATTCTTGATGTTTCTCTTATTTACTTCTTGACTTTATTTCCCTTTATTTTATTCATCCTTCTTTCTCTTAATCTCGTTTTGCTTCCATTTGCATATAATCACAACCACTTTCTTTATCTCTCCATAATCACTTTTACCAATCCTAATTGTCACACACTACTCAAAAACTAATTTTAATTAATTCTTATAACACTTTCCTTGTGGGATTCGATAGTCTTCTATATTATAACTTGATAGTTGTGCGCTTACAACTTTGGTTATCATTATTTACCCCTTATCATAGGTCAAGCTTGTTGATACAGTAGGGAAACGACCACTGGAAATTGGACCCTAGAGCAGAAGTTGTCTCGGTCGACGCCTTAGCTGGTGAAGGTGGGGCTGCCTCTTCCTCGGCAGGCACCTTGCCTGACCTTTAGACCGGCTCAGGCAGGGGAGCTTGAGTTGTCTCCTCTTCAGCTTGAACCTCAGACTCCCTAGGCTCGAGCAGTTCCTCCACCCTCGTAAGCTGAGCAGGGGATACTTCATCAAGTATAATAATCTCAGTCGGCTTAGGGAGGGGAACGCTTGGAGCTGGTGTTGGCCAACTTCCGGGACTAAGGCAAGAGCACTCGCTTCTACTCCTCCTTTTGACCAAGACCAAACTAGCTCGATACTTTCGTGAGGACCTCGACCACTCACTTTCTTCAGCCTTCCCTCTTCTTCTTCTCATGTCTCTCAGTCTGGGTGGTAGCACTCGGCCTTGCTAGTCGAGCCACCATCTTGGTAGTATTCGTGGCCACCACCTTAGCCTCTTCATGAACCAACTCACCCCTCAGGAGTTTTGGGGGCCTAATTGACAACTAAGGTTGTGCTTCATCTGACTCTTTAAGGGGGAGTGCTAAGATGATAGCTTGAATTTTATCTTCCTTGGTTGGCGGCATCTAAGATAGGCCAACCACTCAGAGGACAGCATGCTCGAAGAGGTTGCTAATCTCCCTCAATCCATAATAATCTCGTATCTTGTCGAGCCCCCGTTTCTCTTCATTCGTAAGCATGTCCGATTTTACCTCATCCTTCTTGACCTCGGGCCAAGTCGGACAAAGCAGGATGGAGTCGGCCCCAAAACCCCCCTATGAACTTCTTCTTCCAATTCTTGTTTGAGTCAGGTGCGTCGGAGACGGGTTTGAATGCTATATACCCGGCACGACACCGACTCGGTGGCAGATCACCACATTCACCAACCAAGTGGCAGTTGAGTTCGGCTTGATTTGAGAAGGGGACACTCCCAAAGCCTCGTAAACG